TAACTAATAATAATAATAATATATATATAATATATATATATATATATATATATATATATATATATATATATATATATACAATAGCAGCATAAGCTATTGTTTTATATTCAATAAAAGCTCTTCCTTTATTAACTAATTATCCTTCGTTTCTTGGAACTATATAATCTCTAAAAAATATAAATATTTATATATTTTAATGATTTAGTATAATTTTAATACTCTATTTAACCAAATTACGAAAAGAAAGATATAATTTCTTTATCTGAAAGTTCAAAATTTAAATTATTTACAATAATTGTTCTTTTTCCTCTCTTTTTATATTATTATATATTTTTATTATTATTATTTTTGTTACATCTTCAAATGTATTATTATTATTATTTTGTTCTTTTTCTGCTTTATTATCTTTCATTTTTATTAAAAAATTTTTTTTAAAAATATAGAAAAAATAAAGATATATTTTATAAGTAATCAGGAGATTTATTTTTAAGAATTAAAAAAAATAATGCTTTCGGCTTACTCTATTATTCTTCTTCTTCATCTTCACTATCCATCCAATCATATTTTTAATTATTTTCCTCCTCTTCCCCTAAATATTCAGGTTCTTGGTATTTATCGTATTTTATTTATTCTTCTTCATTATATTTGCTTTCTTTTTATTCTTATTGATGTTCTTCTTGTATTTATTATAAAAATTTTAATTCTTCTTCTTTATTTTTAATTTCTTCTTCGTCATCTTAAGGTAATTCTAAATTATTTAAGATTTTTTCATCGTCTATATTAGGATTATTTAAATTATTTTGACAATCAAGTTCTTCTTGCCATTTTTTCTTTTACTCGACTTTTTTTTTATTTCTGAAACCAAACATTTTTATATATATATATATATATTAATTTATATATATTTTTATTTTTCTTTTCTTTGTTTATTTAATAAATATATGTAATATATTTTTATTTAAAATATTTAATATATTAAGTAAAGAATTTAATAATAAAAGAAGAAAATTAAAACAATATTTTTAATAAAAATCTATGAATTTCTAATTATTAAAAAACAATAAAAAAAATAAAATTCAAATATTCATTCCTTTATTTACACGTGAAAAATCTTTAAAAAAAAAAAAAAATTAATTAAAAAAGAAAAAACAAACAAACAAAAAACAAACAATATGTTCAAATATTTCCTCATTACAATAATTTTCTATATAATAACACCCTATTATGCCCAGTAATGTTTTTCCGAATTATCCATATATATAACCGAAGAAGAAATGAAGTAAAAAGTAACCCATTTAATCTAATAAAAACAGCCAATATAAATCGAATGTTTACAGACATTATTAAATAGTGGTTATTACTAAGCTGCCTTATAATTATACGAAGAATATTTCGTTCATGAATAAGATAAATTGGAATAAAATTTATAATTAATAAGTAAACCCACTAATAATATAAAAAGAGACTTAGATACCTTATAGAATAATATGATGGCCTCAAATAAGGAAGTTTAAGTAGCAGAGCCTGCCTTTTAATGGGCTTAAAATAAAACTAATATACTTATTTAGGTGAAACTTTCATTAAGATTAGACTCTCCTGCATGTCTAACATGTAAAGAGGAAAGTGTTAAAATTACAAATAATACGCTTTTTATGAGTGCCTATGGGATTATTTCACATACTCCGGTTAGATTTTAACTGAATATTACTCTTTTTGGAGAAGTAGACCCTGCATTAAGTGTATGGAATTATGAAAGTGTTGGAACTTATTTTTTTTCGTTGGCAAAAAGTGGTGATGGAAACCTTTGGTTAGATTTAGAAAAAAATGCGAATAGGAAAATTTAGTTGTGGTGGGATATGAGGGAAAAATATAGAAGTGATATGAATTAATGGAGTAAATTAAAAGATGAACAAATGGAAAAAAAAGAATAAGAGGAAATGTATAAAGAATAATAGGTTAAAATGGAAAAGAAAAAAATGAGATAATAGAAAAAAAAAGAAAAAAAAGCTGCTAAGTAAAATACTAATTAAGATAATAAAGAAAACAATAACGATTAACAATAAGAATAGAAATAAAATAATAATAACAATATTAATAATAATAATATTAATAATAATAATAATAATAATAATTTTAATCAAGAATAAATATAATAAATATAATAGTAATAATGAAATATATTAATTTATTATGTTTTTTTCTTATATTTATTTTATTTATAAAAAAATATTTTTTTTTGATTATATATATATATATATATATAAATTTATATATATATATATATATATATTATACAAATTTATTATTTATTTTATTAAAATTAAATTTAAATATAATGTTTTGTAATTTTGAATATAATTAATTTATTATTTTAAATATATTTGATTATATTCAATTTTTTTTAAATTAATTATTTTTGTTACATTATTTTTTTTTTTTTTTAAATTAAGTTATTTTTTCTTTAAAATACTATATATTTTTTTATAATTTTTTATTATATTTTTTTACCATTTTATAATTTAGAATTTATTTAAAAAAAAATTAAATTTATTCTTAATATAAATCCATTAATTAAAATTAATATAAAAAATAAAATAACTTAATTTAATATCAACAAAAAATTGCAATAAAGTAAATTTATTATTAAGAATAATAAAAATAGATAAAAAACAAAAAAATACAAAATACTTATAAATAAATACATACTTTCATATAAATAACATTAAAAAAATATATTAAAACAAAAAATCAAAAAGTAAGATTCTAAAAAAATAAAAAAAAGAACATAAAACATAAACAAAATAAATACGAAAGAAATAAAAAATGCTTATAACCTAAATCTAATTATTTGCTTTTTTAATAATAACATTTCAAATATAATCAATTATATTTTTATTAATAAGCAATTAAACAACTCTTTTAACAATAACTTCATTAATAAAAATAATATACATTATAATTATATTAAAGCCTTCATATTTCCAAAAATACTTTTCTTTAATAATCCTAATAACTAGCTTATATATGAATTCATATTTATTTATATATACCAGAACACAAAATATATCTATAGAACTTCCGAATACTTTAAAATTTTATTTTGGGTTAATAAACTGTATTAATTTTTTGCCATAAATTAGTTAAAGTTATAGGAATATAAGTTTATTTTTTTCTTGTATTTTATGGTCGTTTTAATAAGAAGATTTTATTAATAAAATTTTTAGTCTTTCATATATTGCGAATATTTCTTTTTTTCTTTTAATTATTTATTTATACAATAAATAAAATAAATAAAAAGAGAAAATTTTAGATGTTTTTAGTAAATTTTCTTAGTCTTATTTTTTAATTTGTTCTGAAAAAGTCCAGACTTTTTTCGTGAGTGAAAATTTCGTTTAAAAATTTAATATTTAAAATACAGAAATAGGAATGAGGATTTTTTTATAATAAATATTTATCATTTTTTAGAATTAAAAATAACCATTAATATAATTATTAAAATATCTGAATAAATAAATAGAAATTTAAGATATATAATATGATTTAGAAGAAAAATTTTAAATTTCTATTAGTAAAATAGATTACTAAAATTAAAATTGCTTTATTATTTTTTTCCACATAGAACCAAACTCAGTTAATTTAAATAAATATAAACATAAAATTATAAACTCGATTTCTCATGATTTGAAAACTCCTTTAAATGGAATTATTTTATTATTGAATATATTAAAATAACATTTAAAAAATTTAATAAATTAAAGAGATGCTATATTAAAGGATAAAGTTAAACTATAAGAAAATGAAAAAGAAATAAAAGAAAATAATTTATCAAAATAATAAATATAATAATTAAATTTATAAAAATAATAAAATATATAAAATAATAATAATAATAATAATAATAATAATAATAATAATAATAATAAGAAAATATAATAAAATTTTCTTAATAATAAACTTAAGATTTATTTTATGAATAATATAAATTATAGTTTAACAAATAATTATCTAATAATAATATATTGGATGAATTATATTAATAAAAGATTTTAATAACAATTTGTTAAAAAAAATTTTCTGATGAAAATTTAATCGAAATAAAATCTGAAGAAACACATAATTAAATAAAAAGTATAAATATATAATAAAATGATATATCAAAAAGGACTTTTAATAACCTTAATTTAATAAATAATAATTCTATGAAGAAGTTTTTTTCTCAAGACTAACTTTTATAGCTAAAAACGCATTAGTTTTATAATAATTCTCCTAATGAAAATCCCAAATTAGATGTTTTATTTACCTATGTTGATATAATCGAAAAAAACTCACTTCTTTTACAAAGCCGAATTAACGATTTAATCGATTATTCGATGATTTTAAACGATAATTAACTAAGTTTGAACTGCACTTAGTTTAATTTAAATGAGATTTTACATGATATATTTGAAATATTCGACTTACAAGCTAAAAAAAAGAAAAACCTTCTGATTCTAATGGACTCGAATATAATAATACTAAATGATAAACCCAGAATTAAATAAATTCTTATAAATATAATCGGAAACGCCATAAAATTTACTTTTAAAGGTCATATAAAGGTCAAAATAACCCAAAACGATGTAAATACTCTAAGATTTTTAATATAAGATAATGGAGTGGGTATTTCTGATTTAATATAAAAAACTATATTTAATTTTAATGCCCATTTAAATAAAGTTAAAGATGATAATCAATAAGGAGTGGGTATAGGACTTGAGATTTGTACTAGAATATGTTAAATAATAGGCCCTAGTGAGTAGTAAATATAACTAGTGAGTTAAATTGGTAAAGGGAGTGCTTTTTCGTTTTTAGTTTTCATAAAACATCCTTTATATAATATTGAATAGGATATATCTAATTATTAAATTCAATATAATAAAAAATAATAGCCATATTAAGTTAAGTCTTATGTAAGTTTACATTCCGAAAAGGAAAATAATTGCACTAATAATATTTAAGAGATTAAAAAAGATAGTTCATTAAAATCCTCTATATAAAATTAACTATAGAAAGGAAAATAATTAGGCACTATTGCTATAGAAGAAACTGATGAAAATATAGTCTTAATAGTAGATGATGGAGTCTTTAATATTTTCGCTTTAAGTAATGCTATTAAAATAGTATATCCCAATGTTAAAATCGTGGAAGCGTAGAATGGGTAATAGGCCATTGAAAAAGTACATAAATATAATGGGTAAATTGATCTTATTATTATGGATATTAATATGCCTATTATGGACGGATTTTAGGCTATTTAAATTATTAATTAGTAAATTAAAGATAAGGTTATAAAGAATTTTATACCGATTATTGCTCATACAGCATTTGATAATAATGAAGATAAATAAAGGTGTTTTGATTTGGGAGTTAAAGGGTTTCTGCCGAAACCGGTAACTAAGGTTTAGTTGGAATAAGCACTTAAACCTTTTTTAAATTGATATTGTTTATAGTGATTTTCTATACATATTTATTATATAAGAATATATATATATATATATATATTTATATATATTTATATATACATTATTTTATATTTTTTTTTTAATAACATATTTTTTGTTTATTTATTATTTTTTTTAATTTGAATTATATGTTTTTTTTTATTTTTTGATATAAAACAAATAATACATTAAATTTTATCCACAAGAATTTTTATTTAATTCATAAATTTTTAACTCTATGTTTTTTTTTAATTTTTTTAATTTTATATAAAGTAAAATAAAAAAATTGAATATTTTATAATATATTAAAAAAAAAAAAAAAAATGAAAAACTTATATTAAAAAGATAAAAAATATTGTAATATATATAAAAAATAGAAAATCATGATAATTAGATAATAATAAGAAAAGTAAATTTATAAAAAAAAATTTAGAAAATTAAATAAAAATTATCTTTTCTTTTTTTTTTTTTTTTTAAAAAAAAAAGAGATTTAATTCTGAAAAACTAAAATTTTTTTCAAATTTTTAATTAAGAAAAAGATTAATAAATAAAGTCTATAATTTTTGATGAAAGTAATGTAAGTATAAAAAACTAAACTAAAATATTGGAAAATGATTCTTTATAAAGAATTTGTTCTATATTAAATATAAAAGAAATTAATACATAAAAAAATAATTAAACATAAAAAAAATATTACTTAAAAAATAATAGTATATCAAAAAATAGTAATTAAACATTAAAATATAATAATTATACATAAAATCTTAATTATGATTAAGAAAAATAATAAAATTTTGATAAATTAAGATAAAGGATTATTTTATATTCAAAAGAACGAATCAATGTATTAAATAAAGAAAGAGAAATTAGTAAATAAAAAACTCAAAAATAAATAAATCATAAAAGAAAAACATCTTAGGAAATAAACACTTTTTATAATAATAAATAAGATAATGAATAAACAAGTAAAACCCCTTGTTAAATTTCAAATACAAATTTTTAATAAAAAAATACTTACTCATCTATTATTAAATTATAAAATAACTAAAAAAAAAAAAATTTCAATCTATTTAAAAAAATATATTGAATATAAACTAATAATATACTTTGATTTTTATATATGAATAATGTAAATATAAAAACTACTATAAACCTATAAAATATATGTTTTTATAAATATATATTATTTATATAAATATATTTATATATATATATATAAACATCTATATAATTTTTTTTTATACTTTTTTAAAAAATCTACTAATAGGTTGGCTATTTATATTTATTCCACCTATTTTTTATTTTTTGTATTGCTAAAAATAAAAATTACAAAAATAGCATAAAAAAAAATATTAAAAAGAAATATATATAATTTCATAATTAATGGAATGTATCTTTATATTAAATAAATAAACTTAAAATAAATTTGTTTAGAATTTTATTTTATTTTATAGTATATTTATTATATATATAAATAAATATATTAGTTAATAAAATTAATATTATGAAAAGAATATTTAATTTATTCATTTAAAATAATATAAAATCTTTAATATATTTACTTATAAATAATTATAAAAAAATTTTAAATCTTATTAAATAATTATATATATATAAATATATATATATATATATATATTTATATCTAAAAAAATAATTGAATTATTTTATTTATTAAAAAATATTTTATTAAATATATAATCAGTTATATATATTATAATTTTCTTTTTATATATTTATACAATTAAATATTTTTAAATAATATAAATAAATAATATATTAAAATAATATTTAATTTTTATTTTTAATTAATTTAATTTTAAATATATTATATACTTTTTAATGAAATTTAATTTAAATATTATTAATATATAAGATTTTTTTTGGGTAAAATAAAATTCTATTTGTATATTATTAATTTTTAAATTTATATTTTTAATTTTAGAAAATCTTATATTATAATAAAAAAAAATACTAAATTTAATATGATAATTAATAAATATTTATAAATATGAAATAATTTTATTTAATTTTTGTTTTATTTTATATATATATTCATAATTTGAATCTATGAAATTCTCTGTTTCCTCAGATTGTTAGACTATAAGATGTCCTAGAAATAATTGGACATATTAAGGAAGTTCATATAATTTTGCCTGTCCTTTATCAGGAAAAGATAATGCTATTTTAAATAAAATATATAAAAAATATAGTTTAAATATAACAGCATATAATATAATAGGGCATAATTAAAGGATTTTAATGCCTCTATATATAAATCAGGAATATTCGTATAACGGACTATAATATTAATATAGATTAAATAAAAATACTTCATTTGCACTTTTTAATTGTACAAATAGTAATGCTGTAAAACATGTAAAGCTTTGTGGATAATATGAATTAGTAGGTACTAAAATTGTTAATTAATCAATTATTTAGGAATGCGCTTTTGGATTGAAACAGGATTTTGACGAAAAAAAAATCGAATTGTGATATAAATTTTGTATATAATCAATATATTATATATTAATAATAAAAAGTATAAAATTAATATTTTATAACAAATATTTTATTTTTTCCCATATATATAAAAAAATAAATAAATATTTTTATATATAAATATATTTTATATAAATATATTATAAATATATATATATAAAAATATTTATATTTATATTTATTTATAAAAAAATATATATATTTTATATATTTTTTTTAATTTAATTTTATAAAGATTTTATTTTAAATTATTAATTTTTCTACTATTATTCTATTTTTATTATATTAAATCTATTAAAATTAATATATATTTATATATTATATATTTTATAATTATTTCATTTTTCTTATAAAAAATTATAGATTATTAAAATATTAATTCTATATAAAAAAAATAAAATATTTTAATAAAAAAATATATAATAAAATAAAAATAATTTTAATATATAAAATAACTAAAATTAACAAAAAACATGAAATCAGCTTTATTAATCTTTTTATGCTTAGTTTTAACATATTAATAATATTATACTTTAAATTACACAGTTTCATCTGATTGTAAATCTATTTCTTGCCCTAGAAACTATTGGCATTACGGTTCTAATTAATATAGTATGTCATGCCCTAAATCAGGTTATCGTATGGCTTAATTAATAAACTCTTATAATTAATATTCATTGAATATTACGGCCTATAATATGGGTAGATCTGATTAAAAAGTAGTTTTTCCACTTTAATTAAATTAAAATTCTACTTATAATGGTATATAATATTTTAGTTAATTAGAAAATAATCAGTATTTATCGATTTTTAATTGCAGTAATCCTTATTCTAAGAAATACGTTTCTCTTTGTAATAGATTTGATCTTGTCGGTACGAAATTTATTAATAATACTTTCGTTTAAGAATGCTCTTTTGGTCTTTAAAAAGCTTTAAGTGAAAATACTGAATATTGAATATTAGAAAGAAAAAAAATAAAAAAATTATAGTTTATATACTTTTATTTTTTTATTATGTTTTTTATATTTTCTATTGATTTTATTTAAAATATATTGATATATTATTTTATTATAGGTTTTTAATAAAAAAAAATATTTATAATATATACATACATTCATAAATATTAATAAAGTATGTTTTGTTTATTTTTTTAAATAATACTTTAATTTGCATTTAAATTATTAAATATTTTTGTTTTGTTTTTTTTTTTTTTCTATTAAAATAAATAAATAAAATAAACTCAATTCAATTGTTAATATTATAAATTTGAGAATGCTCATATTCAGTCATATCTTCTTCTTGTTTATTTTCATTTAATGAATATTTATTAAAGTTTTTAAATTTCATTAAGCGAATGATATTCTCATTAATAACAACTCCTTAACTTTCTTCGATATTTTCTGATTTTACAGAACTATCAACTATTTTAGGATTTTAATTGTCAATATATTAAGTTATTTATTCTTCGCTTATAGATTAAAAATTAATCAGTTAGTTTTTAATCGTGAAATTATTCAATAAATATTTATTTTATAGAAATTGGTCTTCATTATGTTATTGTAAAGTATTTTTTGTTTAAATTTATTAATTTAAAGGTTAAATAAGCTATTTAGAAAAATATGCATTATAATTATATATATTTTCATCTATTTCTTAACTTAATATACTATTTTTATCATTTGTTTAATTATTTTGTTATTAGAAAAAATTCGGAGTGTTTTTTTTATTATTTTCTTATTAATTAATAATATTATGTATATTATTGTTTATATTAAAAATATTAATAGTTTATATATTATTAGTTTAATTTATGCTTATTGTCTAATTATTTATATTTTATTCTTTTTAAAAGTTCTAATCTTCTTATTTTTAGTTATTATTATTTTCTTCTTTTTAAATTATTAAACTATTAATGTTTTATTCTTTTTAAAAATTTTAATTATTTAAGTTTAATTAATTTTATATATTTTAAATATAAAGATTTATTATATTTTAATTATTTATTTATTAATTTTTTAATATAATATTTTCTAATATTTATATATTTTAGTTATTATTATTTTATACTTAATTATTTATTTACTATTAGTTTAATTATTAACTATTATTTTGTTATTAACTTTATTCACTTTATTAATTCGTTTCTATATAATTATTTAATTCTTCTGTTTATATACTTTATTATATTCTATTATTATTATTTTAATTATCTTCTATATATTTAATAATAGCAGTATTAATAACTTTAAATTTTATATTTTTCTAGCTTTTATTTTCCTCTATTTATAATATTTTATCAATTTAAGTTCTACATAAATGACATTCACCTACTTTTTCAAAAATATCCTTCGAACAATCAAAACAAATACCTTTATTTTTTAAAATTATATATAATAAGATAAACTTTACCTCCATGACCACATGGCATAAATACAGAGTCTGGATTTAAACTAAAACAAATCAAACATTAATTATTTAATGTATTATCATTTTATTATTATATTTTATTACTTTAGTTACTGTTACTTTATAAGGTATTAAATAATTTATTATTATCTGAAAATTATATTGTTTATAAAGATTTCGATTTTTTAAATTTTTTTTAAGCTTTTTAGGTATTTTTTATTGTATGGATTTTTTATTGAGAATTTAATAAATTTCTGTTTGTTTATTGCATTTCGATTGACATTTTTTTCAAATGTTTAAATTCTTTTATTTATTTTATATTTTTAGGTTTAAATATTTTCTTGGGAGGACTTTTTTAATATTTAATTGTTTGATTGTCAAATGATTTTGGACTAAAATAAGTTGCGCTTTCTTTTTTTTTTTTTTTTTTTTAAACAAAGGAAAAATTTAATAAAGTTTATTGTATTTGTACTTTATAATAATTATATTTAAGCTTTTTATTAAGTCTTTATTTTTTAATGTGGAAATTTATATTGATTTTTTGTTAAATCTTAAATTTATTTATAATATGTAGATGAAAGTCTTTACTTAAATTTATAAAAAAAAATTAATTTTTTTTTTTTTTTTTTTTTTTTTTTTTAAATTACCAAAAAAATTGGTAATTCATCATTTTATCCCGAAATAATTAATTTCTTTATATTATTTTATTTATTTTTTTCTTATTATTCATTAATAATTTATATTTGTATTTAATTGTTATCAGAATTAGAATTAATCGAAGGTTAATTAACTTAATAATTAATATTATTAAAATTATTAAATTAATCTATATTTTAATCATTTTCATTTAAATTTGTTACATTATTTAAAAAAGTACTTATTATTATTATTATTTTTTTTATTTTGAATAAAAATAAATGAATTTACATTATTTATTTTCTCGAAAAAAATGTATAGGCAGCTAAAATAAAAATAAAAACACATCCATACTAAAAACTAAACCAAACTTAACTTTAATCTTTGTAATCCTAGTAATTTATAAAAGAAGTAATATATATAGTTGTATTAATAGTCACACCGTTTATTATAATATAAACCCAAATTAATCCTTTAACTAATTTTATAAATTAAATATAAATATATATACATATAAATATATTTGTATATAAAAATATATATTTATATATATATATATATATATATATATTTTTTTTTTTTTTAATTTTACTTTCATAGCTTTCAACGTCGTTTTCAGTACATTTAGAATAAAATTTAGAAAATATTATAATACTTAAAATTAAATTAATAGCTATCATGATAGAAAAAAATATCCAATAAGCCCAAAAAACTTCTCTCCATTTCCATTTTACTAAATCTTCATATTTTAAACTTATTAATACGATTTATACACCAACAAAAATTTTGAAACCATAATTAAACTTTTAAAAAAAATAATAAACATATTTATATTTATATTCATTGTTTATTTAATAATAAATATAATATATACATATTTTATACTATATTTGTTATTATTGGTAAATTGGATTTAATCTTTTTATATATTATTATATAAGCTACTATAATTAAATAAATAAGAAAACTAAGAGGAATTACAAAAAATTAAAAACTTAATACTTTTAACCTTATAAATAGTAAAATCTTTTTATAGTTTATAAATTTAAATTATGTAATTTATTTATATGTAAAACATTATATTATTTTTTTTTATTGAAAACGAAATAATAAATAAATTTTGTTAGCAGACCTTCTTTATTCATTTAAATGAACAATTTATTATAAGATTTGATTTAAAAATAATAATAAAAATATATATAAATATATAAATATATAAATAAATATTATTAATTTAGTATTTTAAATATTATTAGTAAGAACATAATATTTTACCTTAAATATAATTGAGTATATTGTTTCGATATATTGTTTCATTTATTAGAAAATATTTAATCCTTTTAAACCAATTATTTTTGATTATGTATCACTTTTTTTTTTTTTTTTAAGAATTTAATTTAAATATGTTCTTTTTTTATTTTTTTACAATTATTATATTTAGTAACGTGTTTAAAATAAAAAAACAAATCAACAGTCCACATATATCCAAGAATATAAGAGTAATCAATATTAAATATAATTTAGCAAATGAATAATAAAAAAAATATTTAAATAAAGATTTAATTAAAAGTTGTGTTAAAAATTATTTAAATTGATTAATAATTAACATTTTGTGGCCTTTATCTTAAAACATTATTTTGATTTTATATCTATGCTTAAGTCTAATTTTATATTTATTGTATATCTATTGGTTATTGTAATATTTGTTATTGTTAATTTTGTTATAACATTTAAGCTTCATTATAATTAAGTCTTTCTGTATTTCTTGAAATACTACAGCTTATATCGTTATTACTATAATTACTATTACTATAACTTTATTATTAAAATTAGAATTTTTTGAATAGTTTATTTTTTTTACTTTTATAAAATATCAATGTATGATCTTCTAGAATAACTATTCATTTCAATTTATGCTTTTTATTTATTTATATATATATATATATATATATTTATTAAAATAAATAATTATTTAAATTAAATTTTGGTTTTTTTGTATAATATAAAATAAAAATTGCTTTTAAAATTTTAATATAATCAAAAATATTTAAATTATTTTAATAGTTTAATGACTTTTTTTTAAAAAAAATAAATAAAATATTTCATTATTAAACAAAAAAATATAAAAATTTCTTAAAATAAAATAAATATAAATTAATTATATGAAATTTAGATAATTGAATAATATTTTATAACTATTAAAATGAATTAATTAAAAATAATTAATTTTTTCCTTATAAGTAAAATATGTCATTATTATGAAATTATATAATTAATATATATAACTGCTTATATATATTTAAAAAGATAAAATAATATAATTTAATATATTATTAAGAAAAAAAATAATTAAACTAGAAATATAAAAATATATATAATTTTTATTTTATTTAACCTAAAATATTAATATATAAAATTTAATTTATTAAAAAAAGTATTTTAATTTATATATTATTTTAGTAGGAATTTTATTTAAATATAGAAATTAAATAAAAAGAACAAATACAAAAAATAAATATAAATTTAAAGGAAGACCAATAAAAAGAATATTAGAAAATAAAAAATGCTTTTATATTTTATTTAAAAACACATATAAAAACAAATCAATTAAAAACTTTTTTTATCAAAAAATATCGAAACTTTAATCCTAAAGTTAAAACAGAAAACTATTGTTTCCTAAATAAAATAAGAATAGTAAAAAAACAATAATTGATAAGATTTTAATTGAAAAAAATAAGATAATAATTAATTATTATACAGTAGATTAAATAATAAATATAGAAAAGATCTTATATAATATTGAGAAATTAAAAAATTTTAATTAATAAAAGATAAAAGAAATAATTTAAAATTTAAAGGAATTTCAATAAATTTCCAAAAATAAAATATAAACCTTTCTTTTTAAGAAATATAAGACATTTATGTATATAAATACATTAATATATAATTTTATATATATTAATGTTACATTTAAATTATTTATTAAAGAATATATTTTATTTAAAATAAATAATCTATAATTATTAAATGAATTTACAATTTTTTCAAAAGAAAAAAACTAAAGGGGGAATATTTATCATTTTAAAAAGAAAAGGTGATTTTTCAAATAGAATAACTTAAAAAGTTAGAATTATAGAAAAATGAACTTGATAAAATTAAAAATATTTGCTTTAAATTAAAGCATTTTATTAAAGATATATAGTCTAATTAAAATGGATTATTTTAGATTTAAATCTTTTCGTTTAAACAAAAATACTAAAATTTAAATTTGGTTTAAATTACTTTGCCTTTTAAAAAAAATAATGAGAACTTTTACTAAGACTATTTAATTTCCTGCATTTATTTATAGAGGAATCAAAAATTTTATATTTTTTAAATAAAAAAAAGAAACTTTAAGTTTTTAAGTAATATATAGAATAAATTATGAAAAATTAAAAAATCCTCTAATGTTAAATAAATTATACTTAATAAAAAATTGAAATATATATATTATTAACGTAAAAAAATAATTTTATTGAATAAATAAGAAATATAAAACTTAGAATAATATAAATTAAAAAAAATAGTTCATAAACATAAAAATAATTTTTTTTTTTTTTATAATATTTTAGAATGTATTATCAAAGAAAAATAATATTACCATAATATAAAAAACATATCTATTTTTTTTATTAAAAACAGAAATATAGGAGCAATCGAAATATAATAAAAAATTAAGAAAAATTTTTAAATAATCAAAACAAATAAATGATTAAAAAAATATATATAATCAAAAACAAAAACTAAATATATAGATTTGATTTATAAAATTATATATACATACTTTTATATTTATATATAAAAATATTTTATATACAATATAAATATATATTTATATAGAAAATTTTAATAATATCTTTTGGATATATAAATAATAAAAATATTTGAAAATTAATAATAAAATATATTTATCTTTTTTATATCTAAAATATTTTTTTTTCTAATAATATTTTTTTATAAATATTTTTAAAAAATATCTTTTTAAAAATAATAATAATGAAAAAATATATATATAATATTTTTTTCTTAATAAAATAAAATTATGGCTAATAACAAAATAAAAAAATAAAAAAAAATGCTATTTAATTTTTAATATTTTAATAAAAATAATATATATATATATTCTATTTACTAAAAAAATTATTTTTTTTTGTTTAAATATATAAAAAAAATCAATCCCTTAATAACCTAATTTTATCAATTTCTCTTTCGTTATATCCTTCATATTAATATTCTTTATCATCAATATAATCATCAACTCTAACTTTGAAATCATTTTCTATATTATAAAGATTATCTTTATAATATTAAATGAGTTCTTCTATCATTTAATTTTCTTCTATTAGCTATTAAATTTTCTTATTATACCAATCATATTATTCATTTATTTATTTTTATGCGCCAGAAAGTTCTTATTTTATATCTTTATCATTTTATTAACATTAAACTTAAATTTAACTTAAAACATTTATTTAGTAACTCATTTATTTCAAAATAGAAATTTCATTATCAATTTATTTTTATATTATAGTATTTTCTCTTAGTAATCTATCTCTCATTTTAGCGACTAAAATTGAAGATTAAATTTCATCTTATAATTATTATTACATCTTTTTTACTATTAAATCTTCTAATTTATCTAATAGATCTAACAACTCCTTTTAGTGACCTGACCATACTTTTCTTTCTCCATTATTAAATTTATTTAAATCTAAATCTCCTTTACTATTATCTATATGTTTTGTACCTATTTCTTTATCTATTTTTTTATTTTATATATTGTATTGTTTTTTTTAATTACCTGTTCTTTATTAAACAGAATAATCTTAGCTAATATTATATTATTATTCATCTATAAATTAAAGAAGAATATCAACATTATTTTGATTATAATTTTATAAAAATCCATTTAATTTTTCTGTTAATTAAACTTTCTATATTAAATTGAAATCATTCTTTTATTATATAGCTTCTCTTAAAAATCTAATAAAACTTAAAACCAACTTATCATTTTTTAAACCTTATACATATTATCTATTTCTTTCACAAGTTTAAGTATGCGAAATATCCAAATCTTTTAAGTTTTAAGTAATTCTTTCTTTTAAATAGTTTATGTATTCTTGACTTTTTGTATGTTTTTATTATAATAGGCTATATTCTTCGAAATTCTTATTACATAATTATTCTTTTTCATTTAATCTCTCTTTTATTAAGTTTTTTTAAGTTTCAAAATTTTATTTTAAACTATTCCATTACTTTGTAATTTCTTCTAAACTTTTTTAAGAGTCATTTTAAATTTCAGAAAGTAATTTAAAAGCGAGAATTATATTATCTTTAGCTTCAGCTATTTATAAATTAGAATAAAAAATAATATATACATATATATATATATATATATATATATATATATATAAATATATTAAAAATAAATACAATCATAAACAATAGGAGGTTCAGGTAATACTTAAGGTGGTGAAATAATTACTTAAGGAATTTAAGGAATAATTAATTCAGTTTTAGAAAGTGGTGGTAATATATCTGTTCCTTTATTTTTTATTTATTTTTATTTTTATTTTTATTTATAAATTTATATATATATATATATATATATATATATATATATATATATATATATATATATATATATATATATATATATATATTTACCCTCTTTGTCTAAAGGTTCACTTGGTATACTTCCCATAGATTCATCTTTTATTTTTTTTATTTTTTTTAGTTTTTGTTTGTTTGTTTTTAATTTATATATTTTTATTTTACTTTAAATATGACTTAATGTTGTAGTATTAAGATCAACTTGTAAAACTATTTTTTTATATATATTTTAATTTTATTATTAATTTATACTTTCTTCCTATTTTTATTTATTTTTCAAATTTTATAAATCTTATTATTCATCTTTTGTTTTATCAACTATATATTCATATTTTTAATTTATAAATATAAATATATTTATTTATATTTTTTTTATTAAAAATAACAATATATAAATAATAATATTATTATTTATATATAATGAAAAAAAATACTTTATTGATCCTCATCATCTAAATTTTAGTTTTACATATTTTCTTAAATTACTCCTGATGAATTTGGTTGATCCTATATTATTTCTATTGTTTTTAAATATATGATTTAAACAAAAATTTATTTATTTTACAAACTTGGGGTTAATTTTAACTTTAGTCTGTAACTATTTTATTTAATTTTATTTAAAAAAATATATATATATTTATCAATACCTATAATATCTTATTTTTATTATTAGGGAATTTATTAAACACTATTTTGTCCATTATTGACAACAATAACTTTTTTCGTTGAAATATAAATAAATTTATTTATAACCTTTTTTTTTATAAAAAATTACTTTCATCTTGACTTTAGTTTTTTGGTTTTTCAACTTATTAATTATCTACAAAATCATGTTCTTTATTTTTATTATATTTAGTTTATTTTTTAAGAAAAAAATACCTTTGTCATTATCTTCATCTATTTCTTAATTTCCTTAATATATATTATGGTTTTTTGGTTTATCATCAATTATTACATCTATATTTTTATAAATATTTTTTTTTTTAAAATAATTATTTATATTTTTAATACTAGGATTATTATTTTATTATGTTTAAGGTAAATCTATATTTTTTATTTAAATAAACAAAATAAAAAAATTAATCACTTTCTGGTTAATATTATACAGGAAGTCTATCACCATTTTCTAATTTTAATTTTAAATTTTGTTTAATTTGTTATATATAATATATCAATATATATATTTAATAAAAATATACATTAATCTCCTTAAGAAGGTATTTTATTATCTTTAGGTAAATCCTCTGCTCTTTATTATACTTATGCTTAAAAAAAATAAAAAATTAATATAAATATATATAATTATTGTTACCTGAATTATTATTTGGAAAACTTATATTTTTAGGTTCAGAAGGTGCATTAACTACACCAGGAATAAAAGGAATATCATCTTTTTATTTTAATAAAAAATAAATAAAGATATATATTTTTTTTTTAGAACGAAAATAAATAAATACCTGGATGTGAATTAGTTTTTGCAACTGTAACTTAATTATTTTATTCATTTTCTAAAAAAAAAAATTATTTTAGTTTTTTTTTTTAAAAAAAAATATTACATATTCTAAGTTATTCATTAGTATCTATATTATCTGGTATAAAAGGAACTGTACCTTCATCTAATTTTTCATCTTTTTTTCATCTTTTTTGTTATCATTTTTTTTTCTTCTTCTTTTTAATTTAATGAACTTGAAATTTTTACTAATTTAACTTAGTCAGTTTAATTATCTGTTTAAATGCCTTTTTCTTTTTAAAGTGTTTATTACATATCTAATTATTAAGCATTAATTTGATTTTCATATTTTTTGTTATTTTTTTCTATAAGATCATCTATATTTGTAATTTTGGTAATATCTACTTAATTTAAATCTTCATCGTTTACAGTGTTTTCAGTCATTATATTATTTTAAATATTTTTTTTTATGGTAAATACTTTATGATTGCTTTCTTCGAATTGTTTTTCCTTTTCAAATATCTAGTATACATTAGAAAAATTATCCTCATTAACACTCTAGAGTACTTCGGGAGATAAATCTATTGTGTCCAATGGATCTAAAATTTTTACTTTCTTCTCTATATTAGTAGATGATAAAAATACTACTTGAATTATTAATAATAATAGAATTATGAATTTTGTTTTCATTTTAATTTTTTAATTAATTGTTTGATTATTAAAAGAAGAAATTTAATATATTTGTTTTGTGAGTTAATAGAAAAAACTGTTTTTGATTTATATTTGTATAATTATTATTATTTTTTGACGTTTTATAAATGAAAATTTTTAATATATTTATTGCTTTTATTAAAAATAAATACGTTTTTGTAAAGAATAATATATGAACAAAACATATATTAAATTATATGTATATAAATGAAAAAATTAAATAGAGTATATATGATATAATATATATAAATATACATATATAAATATATATATATATATATATATATATATATATATTATAATTTACTATAAATAAATAATATTTATCTTATA